CATATAAATTAGTTTCTCTTGTCTAACTTTGTATGATTCTTACTTGATTCTGTATCTTTTTTAAAATGCCCAAAATTTCAATTACAAACTTAGGAAATTAGAGAATGATCCAGTTTAATGTAAAACTTCTTCATAATTTGTGAAAACATGAATATGCAAAACTTTGAAGAGTCTTAGGTCTCAAAAATAATATTTTATGTGTATTAATTTTAAGAGTTTCTTGTTTTACATGTAGATGTTAAGAAAAAACAAAGTACCTTCAGAAGTCGCTTTCCAGGTTGAGGGGAAACACTGTAAGATTCAGTTATGTTATTCTTTCAGTTGCTGTGTGACTCAGTTTTACTGACAGCCACAGGCTTTTTGTTACTAGGATTAGAAACAGTTTATTATGAGTAGTAATAAAGATTATCAATTTTTATTTTGTGCATGTGAGCTTTACCCAGGATTTTATAGAATGGGATTATCACTGGTATGTTTTATGAATTGATAAAAGCTAGATTACTGATTTATAACATTATATATTGAAAATTAAGATTCAAAAAGGTATATTACAGTAAAATCCTAGAATATTATAGCTAAGTTGTATTTAAATAACTGAATTCTCTACATTTTTTTTTTTCCTTAAAGAGAAAGTAGATCATTCAGCAGACCATTTCTTAAAGCAGTTTGCTTGGTTTTTATTGGCAGCCTGCATCCAAGCCTGGTATCGCTGGATATTGCTTGTCAACTATGCTGTTGTTCTAGGACAAACTCAAGGACAGAAGAACTACCTTAAGGGTTGTCATTAGTTTTCATGTGCTGTGTGTGTGGCTTGCTTATCTTGAAAAACGCTATTAGATATTAGAGGCAGTGAGAGTGGGAAGGATAGAGGAATAAATTCTGAACACTGAAATTGTTTATTTGCATAAATATCCACAGAATTCTGACTTCGTAGCTGCCTTACCATTGAGGAAAATTGGTTAAAATTGCCCATTTTTAAATAACTAGTTTTTGAAATCTGTTTTTTCCTCTTTCACCTATATCCTCTTCTTTCCTTCCCATCCTTTGCTATTCAGTTTCATTTTTGTTTTATGCCTGTATCGAGAAAGTTTCACTTTGCAGTTTGTGTGTGTCTTTTTTTCCCCACTGCTGAGTTAAAAATCTAATTAGGGAGAATTATTTAAATGTTCCCCAAAATTATTACAACAATACAGAAATGATGAACTTGTCATTTGATTTTGCATTTACCCTAAGAAAGTAACATTAAAAACAAAAAACAAAAAACAAAAAAAAACCCAAGCTTAAGAAAGATAAATAGTACAGGTCGCTGAAAAAGTGCCGGAAAAATTGATTCACCATGGATGTTTGGTACTGTTGCTGATACTCTGTTCATATTATAGTAATATATGTTTTTTCTTGTGTAATACATAGTGTACCATTCACAATTTTATTACCTTATCAATGTAGTTTACATGTTCTGCGAGCATCACAAAGCAGTCACAATTTTTAAAGCTGTATTACCGAATTTAATCTTTTTAACTTTCCTGTAAGACAGTCAAGTAGACCTTTAACAGTGATCAGTTTGCCCACCACATGTTCTCACTCATAGGCGGATATTGAACAATGAGAACACATGGACACAGGGAGGGGAGCATCACATACTGGGGTCTGTTGGCGGGGGGAATAGGAGAGGGACAGCGGGGGATAGGGAGGTTGGGGAGGGATAACGTGGGGAGAAATGCCAGATATAGGTGACGGGGAGATGGAGGCAGCAAACCACACTGCCATATATGTACCTATGCAACAATCCTGCATGTTCTGCACATGTACCCCAGAACCTAAAGTGCAATAAAATATATATATAAATTTTTTAAAAATCTAAATGCACATGCAGTTTAACCCAGAATCTCCCTCCTGGGACTCTGTACTATAGAAATGAAAGCTCCAATGTCTGTCTGTCTCTCTCTCTCTCTCTCTCTCTGTCTCTCTCTCTCTCTCTCTCTCTCTCTCTCTATATATATATATATGTATACACACACACACACACACACACATACACACACACATAAAAGTAATCAGTTTGCATTCAGATTCTTGAAGACTTACTTTAAATCAGGTAAATTTTTTCATGTAGACATACCAGTTTTCATTAATTGACTTGTAAACTATCATCAGAATGAAATACCATGATAACTAAAGTTTTCAGTTATCAAGTTTGTGTTAAGTGAAGTTCTTACCTCTTGTTTCAGTCTTTAGCCTTGTCCTACATATTCCTTGTAAAGAACTCTGCTATAGCAGAGACCTTAATCTCATATAAAAAGCACACAAAGTAATTATTTTCCAGTTTCCACATTTTCCAGTTCACGTTTAAAAGCTCTGAAGACTTAAAATGTTAAAACTTCCTTTGAAGAGAGTTCATAGTTCAAGAGCAGTATTTTCTATTTTTGAACATGTCTTCTACACTTGATGTGTTTTTTTCCAGCAACTCTTCTCTTCAAGCATCTGCAACAGATGACCATTGGCAAAGTAAGCCAGAACTTTATATACCAGGTATAGGTTTACAAGCCTATTGGTTTAAAAATACTCTGCCCTAATTTTCGATGTCTTCCTTAGAATAGTGCCAGAATGCTGACATTTTACACCTTGGTCTTTACACTTTATAAATGATACAGACCTTAGAGTGATTTTTGTATAAGGACTGCAGTATCACTTTATATGAGATTATCTTTGCATGAAAATAAATTCTGGTCAGATTACTGGTGAGGACTGGGAAAAATGAAAGATCTTCGGTTGAAACTTTCGTAGTATTCATGAATTGTTGATGTACTTACCAAAAAAAAAAAAAAAAAGGGGGGGGGTCCTAAAGTTGGCAGTCAAATTTCTGATCACTCTTTGTTTTTATTTGATGAGACCATGAGAAAGATGATTATTCTATTACCAACTTATACTGACTTTTTCCCATCTATACTCAAAATGTATGTCCCAAAAGGAGCCATACTTCAGAGGTAGAGACTAAAGAGGAATTCTACTACCTGACTATATAACAAAAAAAGATCTTAGATTCCTAGATATTAAAATGTGCTTTATTCTTCACTGTGTGAATTGTTTGCCTTTGGTCTTTTCAAATATTTCACAGATTATGTGGTATTTTTATAAATTCTGCGGTACTTTTCCATAGCCTCCACATGCTTCCTTTTTTTCAAGCTAATAAGATGGTTTTATTTAAATAGTGCTCTTTGAGAAATCTTGACCACTTTTCAGATATTAAACATCAAAGAAAAACTGTAAGCATTTAATAATTAGGCTTTGATTGCTATGAATGAAGAAATAGACTTGCACGCAGCTTCTATAATACCTTGTTTGTTGAAAATAGATGACTATGACAGAAAGAAATTAGACCAAGGAAAGTTTACTTAAACTTAATTATAAACATCTAAGCTAGAGACTACTAATCCCCAAACTACTATTATATTTTGAGGGTGCAATCAAACGTTTTATGGGTTATATAGTGCGTATGTGTGTGTGTGTGTGTGTGTGTGTGTGTGTGTGTGTGTGTATCTGAATAAACATATACACCTACACATCTTTATATCGATATATAGACACACATACTGCAGATACATTCTTTTTCAGATGTGAAAAATTGCAAGTTATCATCATACTATTTGGAAATAGTGTTTACTCAACTCTAAGATCCCATCAATTATGAGACTATGAACTTACTAGCAGCCTTTCTGAGAGGGAGAAACAAACATTTAATAATTTCATGGACTTGAAATGGAAGGGGGTAGGGGCTGAATTTTAGAATTTCAGAAAATTTTATATATCTGCTATAACACCTTTTAATTATAAAGAACACAGATCTAATGTCCACTTCTATTACTAGAATTTAAGAAAAAGATATTTTCTCCCCTTCAACTAAGTTGCCATTTTTAAACAGTGCTTTGATTATAAAATTTTACTTACCTGAAATAAAGTAAAAATAAAGTCATTATCGAACAAAAATAGGTTAGTAATTTTCCCTAAGATTGATACTGCCAAAACAACAACAACAACAACAAAACTTTAAAATAATTATGAGGGATGTTTTTAAAACTGGTTCTTTTTGTTTGACGAACAGCTGCATTTAAACCTCACCCAGACCCTAAAAGGTTCATTCAGTTGATACACACTGTCAGATACATATTTTGTGCTAGACACAATGCTCGCTTCAAATATAACTTAGATCTTAGTCATATAATTTAAGAGTTTAATATAAGAAAATTGAAGGAAAATTTGGACTTTTGTGTTATGTTTTCTGTTACTGTATTGATTCAGTAGTAGCAATGCATAATTTTCCCACAAACTCCATCCTTACATGTAGAGAAAATGTTGATAAAATATTCTTGCAATAAAGTGCATTTTGCAAATACGTATTTTATTTTCACTGTTCATTCAATTTTCTTAATACCATTTAAGTTCTTACAGGAGAGCTTCAGATTCTCCATACAAAATGTTTAATCCAAAATTATACTACATAGAGTAAAACCCTTGCTAAGCTTCTTAGGAAAAAAAAAAAAAAAAAAGATGCCTGTGATAATTTGGTATTTAAATCATAAGAAAGTTTTTTGCCTCATTGCACTCCTGAAAGCAAGATGGGTCACCAGCAGCCCTCCTGGAGCCACCCACAAAAGTTGGGCCAATCTTGTCACATCTGCCCAAACCAGCATGGTCTGATCCGGAAACACAGCCTCAATATGTGCCGATAGTGTTTCCGTCATTACGCGAAGGACATAGGTTTCATCGAGTTGGTCTAAGTGATCTTCCTTGAATGGATTATCCAAGGCATCCACCCAGTGAAAGAAACTATGTTAGTTCTTCATACATAAAATAAACATTTTTTTAAAACGAACAAAATAAGTCATACCAAAAACACCACGTTAGTATATTATTAGCATAACAGGAAGAACCTGAAATTTATGTATGTCACATGTACTTTTTTTTTTTTCTCTTTTGCTGTGATATCACCTGGGAAAATCCAGAAGATTGGATAACCAAGAAATGACTAATCAAGAGTCTGCTGTACATGTGAAAATGGTGGGTATTTGCCTATTTTCAGTTCCATTTATTAATGGTAAATCTTCACCACTTTTACCTCTGTCTCTAACCAGATAATTATGGGACTGAAATTTTATACAACTCTTTCTTTGCATCACAAAATAAACATCAAATACTTACTGAATTGAATTTCAAATTATCTTTAAAATGTTTTTGCTTGAAATCTAACGCACATTATTGTGCTTTTCAGAATATAAAATGCCTCTCCTATTCCTTTTTATGCTACATTTTCTTTGCTTGGCGATAACACACTTAAATCGTACAGTGTGAAATACATTATTATAGGCTTCCAAATTTAAATGACAAGCATTCAAAAAAAATTTTAAATACTTCTTGCATGACAGTAGAGTTGCATTATATACACTAGTATTAGTTAGGAAAGGTACAGGCTTTGGAGTCAGAACTGGCTTCACATCTTAACTCATTCCTTATTAGCTGCCATAGTCCTGAATGAGAGCAATAGAAATGGGTGTGAAACCACCAACTATATGTTATTATTCATACTTAATGAAAACATTTGTAAAGTTCCTAATAACCACAGATTAAGCACTTATTAAATATTAGTTTATTATGTTAGTGTTTTAACCGTGTAACTGGCATATTTATTTGTATGTGTGGAAAGAAATTGCATCTGTTCTCCATATTCACAGTGATAAAAATCTTTAAAACAACACTTTTAAAAAATCCTTTTCTTTTAAAGGGAACAACTGCCCCATGATGTCTTGTTTTCTCTTTGTGTTCTTTTTGTTGTTTTGCCTCCTCTTCTGTTCCATTTCTTTTTTCAGCTTTCTCTTTCTCTCCAGCTTTTTTCTGGCCTATAAATTAGAGCATGACTCAGCAACCAAACTGCATTTTGTCACACTTAATAAATCTCTTGTTCAACTTTCCCTCAACCAGTGTAGAATCAAAGGTGAAAATTGACTCAAAATGGTGATTAAGTCATCATCAGTTTAGTTATTGTTACTAGGTTGAAGCATAAGAAATTGTTTTTATACGTCAAATATAGTCCAATATTCCCCGTTTTATGTGGTTCAACCTAATAACATAACTCTTTGCGTCCATTGAATGATACGGCATTTAATTCATTGGAATTGAGCATATCTCTCCAATACATAGAATTAAACCACTCTAAAACTAATTTTCTTGTTTGAGTTGACTTTTCTTTTTAACTTACGTGAGTACAAGCAGTATAGGAATTTCCTGACATATAAAGTGTTAATGATACCTTTGTATAATGTTGTTACTTTGGTCCTAGAGCCCCTTATAGAAGGTGTCTGCAGAGGGAAGTAGCAGTGTATTCACCCCACAATTGCTCAGACTGTTGAAGGAAAACAATCCAAAAGATGTTTTTGTTTTTTTTCTTTTAACTATTACATTAATTTACATAATTTTTACCTTGGTTTAGCTTTTCTAAAAATATTGATAGGTCTTTTGTATAATTTGGCAACTTTATAACATGTTATTCTTCACTTCTCATTAACAGGCTCCAGCTCTCTTTGTCTAGACTTTTTACACACACACTTCTCTGTGTACACTTAAGTTCTAGACAAACAGAGCTATTTCTCTTTTTCTCACATTAGACCCTGCACTTTGATTCCTCCCTAATCTCAGCATATCTAAATCCTGTTTCTCTTCCAGAGCCTAGCTCTGTTGACTCTTCCTCCTTTCCCCCCAGAAGAAGAAATCTCTGTTTCTTCTATTCCTCTTACATTTTATCTGGACATCTTGGCAATGTATTAATTATTTGTGTTTCTATAATCCACATTAGAGAACATGCATCCTGAGTGTAAGATTTATATTTTATGTATCTCTTACAGAGCTGCTTCACTCACTGTCTGATATTTAATATGTGGAGGGGGAACGAAAGAATTTAATGTGAAAACAGACCGAATATATAATAGGCAAGGGAAATCACTATTACTAAAATTTAGTAGTGCACAATCTTCCAAATAAATTTTAGAATCATTTATGTGTGTAGGTAAATATACGAGTTTGAATAGATGGATTAAAATCTATACTTTCTGTGTAATTGGATAAAAACTGTAGTGCCTACTCCTTTGTACCACTGCAGTAATGAAGACTTTTCTTGCTACCAAATATAATCAGTGGAAAACCAAAGAAGAATATTTCTCTGAGAATACCTTACTGAAATTTCTTAAGTGATTCAAAGTAATTTTTATGTGGGCCATGGTGATTTAAAATTCACTGAGGCTGCATGCTGTGGCTTATGCCTGTAATCCCAGCACTTTGGGAGGCTGAGGCGAGAGGATCGCTTGAGCCCAGGAGTTCGAGACCAGCCTGGGCAACATAGTGAGACCGTCTCTACAAAAATTAAAAAATTAGCCGGGCATAATGGCAGATGCCTGTAGTCCCAGCTCCTCTGGAGGCTAAGAGGATTGATTGAGCCCAGGAGATCAAGGGTGCAGTGAGCCATGATCACACCACTGCACTCCAGCCTGGGTGACAGAGTGAGACCTTGTCTCAAAAATTTTAAAATAGATCAGGTGCAGTGGCTAACACCTGTAATCCCAACACTTTGGGATGCTGAGGCAGACAAATTGCTTGAGCCCAGGAGTTCAAGACCAGCCTGGGCAGCATGGCAAAACCCTGTCTCTACAAAAACATGCAAAAATTAACCAAGCATGATGGCGAGCCCCTATAGTCCCAGTTACTTGAGAGGCGGAGGTGAGGGGATTGCCTGAGCCCAGTAGGTGGGGCTTGCAGTGAGCCAATGAGCCAAGATCACGCCACTGCACTCCAGCCTGGGTGACAGAGCAAGACCCTGTCTCAAAAAATTAAAATAAAGAAACATAAATGTAAAATTTTTTTTAAGACAGAGTCTTTCTCTGTCACCCAGGCTGGAGTGTAGTGGCGTGATCTTGGCTCACTGTAACCTCTGCCTCCTAGGTTCAGGTGATTCTCCTGTCTCATTTAGCCTCCCAAGTAGCTGAGATTACAGGCATGCGCCACCATACTTGGCTAATTTTTGTATTTTTAGTAGAGATGGGGTTTTGCCATGTTGGCAAGACTGGTCTCAAACTCCTGACCTCAGGTGATCTGCCTGCCTTGGCCTTCCAAATTGCTAGGATTACAGACGTGAACCACCATGCCTGGCCTTTTTTTTTTTTTTTTTTTTTGAGACAAAATCTCACTCTCACCCAGGCTAGAGTGCAGTGACACCATTTTGGCTCACTGCAACCTCTGCCTCCCAGGTTCAAGCAATTCTTTCTCTTGTCTCAGCCCCCAGAGTAGCTGGGATTATAGGAGAGTGCTACCACGCCCTGCTAATGTTTGTATTTTTATTTTTATTATATTTTGAGATGAAATCTTGCTCTGTCCCCCAGGCTGGAGCGTAGTAGCATGATCTTGGCTCACTAGCCTCTGCCTCCAGGGTTCAAGCTATTCTCCTGCCTCAGCCTCCTGACTAGCTGGGATTACAGGCACATGCCAGCACGCCCAGCTAATTTTTATATTTTTAGTAGAGACAGGGTTTCACCATGTTGTCCAGGCTGGTCTCAAACCCCTGACCTCAGGTGATCTGCCCACTTTGGTCTTCCAAAGTGCTGGGATTAAAGATGTGAGACACTACGCTGGGCCTAATTTTTGTATTTTTAATAGAGATGGGGTTTCACTATGCTGGCCAGGCTGGTCTCAAACTGATGACCTCAGGTGATCTGCCCACCTTGGCCTCCCAAAGTGCTGGGATTCCAGGCATCAGCCACCATGTCCAGCCAAAAATAAAGTTTAAAAATAATAAATGAAACTCATAGAGATGAACATATATATTTATAAATTAAAAGTACAAGTAATTTTTTTTTTCGTGAGATGGAGTTTCACTCTTGTTACCCAGGCTGGAGTGCAACGGCGCGATCTCGGCTCACCGCAACCTCCGCCTCCTGGGTTCAGGCAATTCTCCTGCCTCAGCCTCCTGAGTAGCTGGGATTACAGGCACACGCCACCATGCCCAGCTAACTTTTGTATTTTTAGTAGAGACGGGGTTTCACCATGTTGACCAGGATGGTCTCGATCTCTTGACCTCGTGATCCGCCCGCCTCGGCCTCCCAAAGTGCTGGGATTACAGGCTTGAGCCACCATGCCCGGCATAAGTACAAGTAATTTTTTAGTCTTGGTTAAAATATTGTATTCTCTGTACATTGTGAGATGAATTGGTTTATTTTGTTTTTTATTTTTAATGTAAGAATAATAATTCATTATTCTAAATAGAATGTATTTGTGTGTGTGTGTGTGTGTGTGTGTGTGTGTAATACAAAATCTTTTTTTTTATTTTTTGAGACAAGATCGCACTGTGTCACCCAGGCTGTAGTGCAGTGGTGTAATCTCGACTCACTGCAACCTCTGCTCCTGTGCTGAGGCAGTCCTCCCACCTTAGCCTCCAAGTAGCTGGGACTACAGTTGTGTACCACTGTGCCTGGCTAATTTTTGTATTTTTTTGTAGAGACAGCGTTTCGCCATGTCACCCAACCTGGTCTCGAACTCCTGATCTCAAGTGATCCTACTAACTCAGCCTCCTAAAATGCTGGGATTACAGGCATGAGCCACCATGTCTGGCCATGTTTTCTTTTTAATCAAAATTTAATATAATTGGAAATCTAGTTTAAACTGAATTAAATTTGGAAGTTGTCATAGTCTCATCCTGAGAATTAGGATTATCTTTAGTCTGGGACATCATCATTGGATTGATGATAACAAAGCCACACCCAGAAATTTGGTAACCATACTATGGAGCTGCTCTTTTTTTTTTTTTTTTTTTTTTTGCTTCTCATTTTTATCTTATCCCAGTGTATCTACAAGATAATATCAAATAATCTAATATTGCAGTTGAGTTGTGGATAAAATGGCATAACTTTGAAATCCATTTCATCTGTTTAAATATATTAAGTATTGGTCAAAATACATTTGTTATCTTAATCATTTTTGGTGTTGATTCAGATTTGGCACCAATCAACCAACATACACTGACGGATTCTTTTCAGGAAGGCATTGCTCTCTCCCCGACGTTTTACACTATGGCTTTACTATCAAATGAATTTGTTTACTTTTTACCACAAATGATAGAAATTTTTAGTTTCTTATTTTTCATAAAATTGTATCATAAACTGTAAATTTTTCAGACAATTCAAAATAACTTGCCCTTCAAATTTGAAGTATCGTTATTTATGTGCCACAAACCAGGTCTGTTTTTTTTCTAAGAGGGATATAGAAGGAAGGACTTTGTGGAGGTAACAAAAGTATACGATCTCTTTCAACAGTTGGGGGATGTTCAGCAACAACAACAGAAGTATGTGATATATTTCATCATACTTCTACAGCATGCTGATATTATGATACTCTGACATATTTCATACAGGAGTCTTTGATTCTCTTTCTTAGGCTATATTATAAAGTATTTGAATAAAATATCCAATATCTAAAGTTCTTGTGAAGCATTTCTCATATAGATCAGTGACATAGGTTGTTAATTGCAGGAGAGGAGTGTAGTGTACTATATAACCCAAGATAGATAGAATGGTCATTTCTGTATTTCTTATGCCTATTTCATCATTATTTTACTCTGTGCCATTTGGGTAATCACTGCTTATTTATCTGAAAATGAATGATTATATGTTGTGCAGGAGCCACCAATGCTTTTAGCTACCAGTTCTCTTTCGTCCATTGTGATTTAAAATAAACCAGTATTGGGTGGGCATGGTGGCTCACACCTGTAATCCCAGCACTTTGGGAGGCCAAAGCAGGGAGATCACTTGAGCCCAGGAGTTCAAGACCAGCCTGGGCAACATAGCAAGACCTTATCTCTATAAAAATAAAATAAACCAATCTTACATTTATTAGTGTAGCAGAAACCAGCCTTCTTCGAAGCAATCTGGGTGTCGTTCTCCTATTCACTATCGAGAACTTGAAGATGTGATTTGTCTGAGGCAAGACGTCTTAGTATTGGTACACCAAAATAGAATATTTAATTTTTTTGGTGAAAAAATATTCAATGATATATATCCTGTGTTGCTTTCACCATAATGGATTGGTTATTAAATCAAACTTATGCTGATTACTGTGCATCTGCCAGTTAAGACTAAGTAAAAACAGAAGATAGTTGTCAAGAGGTAAACTTATTAGCTGAGGTATTTGTAAGGGAGCTACAGAAGAGATATTGCAAAATAGCAATGGTCCCTAAAACTCAGCAGAAAAGTAGAATAGTACTATTAATCATCACATCCCTAGCATCTAGCAAGAGTGTGTGGCACAAAGTAGACACAAAGGTAAATGTCGGTTAGGCAAGTGAATGGGTTAATGAATGAAAAAAGGAATGTAGGAACCATTGCCTATCTGCCTTTCCTTCTATTGAAAAAAATCACTATAAAATACATAGATAACCTTTAATCCATTGACGCTCATCCAGTTAAGTTAAAAGGATCACTACATCAAATTTAGCTGCATTGCAAGTCATCCTACTTAAATATGGCTTTTAAATATTAAGTTTATTGTAGATGGTAGATCTTTCATCCAATCAGTTTAATTCTATTTGTGATAAAGTGGCTAGTAACAAGAAATAATACTTAAGATTAAATTGTTGAGCAACCCTAAAGTCTTCATAACTCTTTAAGTAACAGCCTAAGCCCATTTTTTTAGATGGGTCTTGCTATGTTTCCCAGGCTGGTATCAAACTCCTGGGCTCTAGTGATCCTACCTCAGCTTCCCAAGTAGCTGGGATTACAGGCATGTGCCACTGCACCTGGTACAATAGTTTTGGCGGTTATCCCAATTTGAAATAAATCTATTGTAAAATGTTTGCCAAGAATAGTATATTATTTTGGAAACAATACAATAAAAAAGAGCAAAGGTCCTGAAGCAGCTTTTCAAATTTAAAATATTTTAAATATATTTTAATTATTCATACAAAGATAAACTTTTGGTGGAATAATCATGATAATTGTTTCCTTTCTGCTCAGGAGCATTTTAAAATATAAATATGTAAGCAAGCTAAATGTATGTATTAATTCTTAAACACCAGATGCAAAAGTATATAATGAGAATGAGCTAAAACTATGTGCATATATATGCATGTTTGAGAGGGATATGCTCAAGGTACTATATTAGTATTAGGGTGGAAGTTTGGTTATTATATTTGTTATATAAAGTGGAGGCTTTATGGGGGGGTGGTCTTAAGATTTTTAGAAAAAGTCTATCAATCAAGGGGTAGTTCTTGGGGTATTCATGGTTAAAATGTGATTTCTGGGCTCCCACTGGGTTGCATCACAACCCAGAAATGAAACTAATAGAAAAATCACAGAAATGAAACTAATAGAAAATAAACTTAAATGTTACTTGTTTATCTTCAAGTAGTTGAATTCCAGGTAATTTTTATTTTCTTTTTTTATATTTTTACTGTTATTTCTGATATGCATGGGTTGTTTTTATAATTGGAAAAAAAAATATGCTTTCTGATAAAGTAATTGAATTACAAATGTAGTTTTGTCTTACTCTGTACCTGGAAAATACTGATATGCTTTAAATATTTTTGTGTGTATAAATGGTAATGTGGGAGTGGGCTTTGTGTCCCACCCTTTTAATCCCAGGACTCTGGAAGGCCAAGATGGGAGGATTACTTGAGGCCAGGAGTTCAAGACCAGCCTGAGCAACATAGCAAGACCTCACTTACCTCTAAAAAAAATTTTAAAAATTAGCTGGGTGGGATGGCACATGCCTTCTACCTAGTCAGTAGGCTGAGATGGGAGGATCATTTGAGGCCAGGAGTTTGAGGCTATAGTGAGCTAGAATTGTGCCACTGCACTCCCGCCTGGGTGACAAAAAAAGGCCATGTCTCTCTAAAAGTAGTAATAAAATAAATAAATGGTAATTTGATGTGGTGTCTTGTTCTTTAAAAATAATGCCTTAACATTTTTATGTCTTTAAATAACATAAGCTTCTGCTTGGTATCAAAGGAACCAGGGGAAAGAAGAATGAAAACTAATTAATTAATTTTCTTTTATGTTTTAGATGCCAGAATTCCAGAAAAGTTCAGTTCGAATCAAGAACCCTACCAGAGTAGAAGAAATTATCTGTGGTCTTATCAAAGGTGGAGCTGCCAAACTTCAGGTGAATAATTATCAAGAAGCCTTGGCTGTGCATGGTGGCTCATGCCTGTAATCCCAGAGCTTTGGGACACGGAAGCAGGAGGATCGCTTGAGCCCAGGAGTTCCAGACCAGCCTGGGCAACATAATGAGATCCCTTCTCTATTTAAAAAAGGGCTTGGCACGGTGGCTCATGCCTGTAATCTAGCACTTGCACTTTGGGAGGCTGAGGTGGGCAGATCAGGAGGTCAGGAGATTGAGACCAATCTAGCCAACATGGTGAAACCCTGTCTCTACTAAAAATACAAAAATTAGCTGGGCATGGTGGCACATGCCTGTAATCTCAGCTGCTTGGAAGGCTGAGGCAGGCAGATCATTTAATCCCAGGAGGCGGAGGTTGCAGTGAGCTAAGATCACACCACTGCACTCCAAAAATAAAATAAAAGCTTAATAATAAAGGCTTTAAAGGCTTTTTTTTTTTTTTTTTTTTTTTTTTTGAGATGGAGTCTTGCCTTGTTACCCATGCTGGAGTGCAGTGGCACAATCTCGGCTTACTGCAACCTGCTCCTCCTTGGTTCAAGCAATTCTCGTGTCTCAGACTCACAAGCACCTGGGATTACAGGTGCCAGCCCCACACCCAGCTAATTGTTGTCTGAGACTGAGTCTTGCTCTGTCTCTCAAGCGGGAGTGCAGTGGCACAATCTCGGCTCACTGCAACCTCCGCCTCACAGTTCAAGCAATTTTCCTGCCTTAGCCTCTGGAGCACCTGGGATTGCAGGTGTCTGCCACCGCACCCAGCTAATTTTGCATTTTTAGTAGACAGAGTTTCACCATGTTGGCCAGGCTGGTTTCAAACTCCTAGCCTCAAGTGATCCACCCACCTCGGCCTCCCAAAGTGCTGGAATTGCACATGTGAGTGACCATGGCCCAGCCTTATTTTATTTTTAATGTTAAAGCAGACTGATTCATCTTGTTTGATAAAATCTGAGTACAGCAAGTTTAGTTAGATAGTTTTTGCCTATCCTTTAGGAATATAAAATCCAAAATAATATATCTTGAGTTGTTCTAAAATGGAATACCCTATTGGAAAAACAAAAATTAATAATCCTGAAATAAATGTCAGTTTTTATTAGTCTTAAGTACTAAGCTAACTCGTGCTACGTACAAGTATTAAACCATTTTAAGGATAATATTAAAAGTGTATAGTGGCAAGTTGCTCTTTCATGTTTTAATAAATTATAGTAGTTCATATTAACATATGACCTTATTAAGGGCATAATCGAGTTTTTAAAAAGTTGTCTCTGTTTTAAAGGAATGCGTTATATGTAAATTAAATCAATAATGTGGATATTCTGTAAAAGTTACTTTTTTAAAAAAAATTTCTAAAAAATAATATTTAACCCAGTCTCCTAAGTTTCAAGACCTGGCCAGCTATTCCAATGTGCATTCATTCATTTGTATAGTTTACCTTAAATAAGCAAGTTAAATCCAGCATGTAACAGTATCAGTAACTAAGAGCTTCATATAGTTGAATTGCTTTCACTGTATTTTTGTGCATTGACCAAGTTGGTCAAAATTAAAGTGTTTTATCTGTAGTGAGAAGAATAACCATATCACCTGCAGTTGCAAAGTCCCATACCGATTAATTAGATTTTTTAAATTTATTTTATTTTTTCGAGACAGAGTCTCATTCTGTCACCCAGGTTGGAATGCAGTGGCACGATCTCAGCTTACTGCAACTTTCACTTCCCAGATTCAAGTAATTCTCCTGCCTCAGCCTCCTGAGTAGCTGGAATTACACAGGCACATGCCACTACACCTGGCTAGTTTTGTATTTTTAGTAGAGATGAAGTTTCACCATATTGGCCATGCTGGTCTCAAACTCCTGACCTCAAGTGATTCACCCACCTTGGCCTCCCAGAGTGTTGGGATTACAGGCATGAACCACTGTACCCGGCTGGATTTTTTCAAGTTTTAAAGTTGATACATAATAACTGTACATATATATGGGATACATATGATATTTTAAAATGTATGTAAAAAGTATAATAATCAAATCAGGGTAATTAGGTTATCTGCCACTTCTAATATTTATTCTTTGTTTTGGAAACATCCTAAATCTTTTCTTCTAGATATTTTGAAATATACAGTAAAATACTGTTTAATCATCCCTCTGTGTGAACACTAGAACTTATTCCTTCTAGCAGTATTTTCATAACCAACTGTTCTTTATCTCCTCAGCCTTTCCACCCTTCCCATCCTCTGGTAAACATCTTTCTACTCTCTACCTCCATGAGATCAACTTTTTTAGCTTTCACATATGAGTAAGAACATGTAATATTTGTCTTTCTGTGCCTGGCTTATTTCACTTAAGATAATGACCTCCAGGCTCACCCATGTTGCTGCAAGTGACAGCATCTCCTTGCTTTTTATGGCTGAATTATTAATCAGATTTATTTAGTGACAATGCTAGGGCACTCAAGGTAGCACCTTGTAGTAAAGATTATTCTCGGGATTTTATAAATGAGCCACATGAGAAAAATCAATGTAAAAGAATAACTTGCTGGATGCAGTGACTCACACCTGTAATCCCAGCACTTTGGAAGGCCAAGGCGGGTGCATCGCCTGAGGTCAGGAGTTTGAGACTAGCCTGACCAACATAGTGAAACCCCAACTCTACCAAAAATACAAAAAATTAGCTGGGTGTGGTAGTGGGCGCCTGTAATCCCAGCTACTCGGGAGGCTGAGGCAGGAGAATCTCTTGAACCTGGGAGTTAGAAGTTGCAGTGAGCTGAGATGGTGCCATTGCACTCCAGCCTGGGCAACAAGAGTGACACGGTGGTGGTGGAGGCTGAGGCAAGAGAATCACTTGAATCCGGGAGGCAGAGGTTGCAGTGAGCCGAGATTACGCCATTGCACTCCAGACAGCAACAAGAGCAAGACTCCGTCTCAAAAATAAGAAAAAAAAAGAATAATTTAACCGTGTGGACCAGAGACTGAGCACAGTCCCATGCATCTAGGAAAGCATGCAGTATGTGTTTGGGTAGCACAGAGAAATTCTGGCCATGTGGGCTGTTTATAATAATGCCTTTCACTCTTTTCTTACAGATAATAACGGACTTTGATATGACACTCAGTAGGTTTTCATACAAAGGCAAAAGATGCCCAACGTGTCATAGTAAGTGTGGTATTTGTAAACAGATTCACAAAAGTATGTCATTATTTTAAGATCCTCTATCTATGTTACCTGTGAGATAACTGGGTTTTTAAATTTCATTTTGGACATTGACAGTGAGGAGAGCTGCTTTTTCTAACTATATTTTTGAGGTTTTCTTTTTTCCCATATTATATAAATGGCTATTTTCATGTATGGTTTTGGTAGCAAAGGGAATCAGAGACTTCTGAAATATTTCTTGGCAAATATGGTCTATTTATTATTTAAGAAATATTTAAATAGGTTGTAAACTTTGGGTTAACCTGAAAAAACAGCATTTATGAAATACTCTTGTTTCCTAGGAATATTACCAAATTTTAATGTCTTTTTTGTTTTCCAACTTGGCTGTGAGTTTTTAAAATAACACTCTTTAACCTGACAGGGAAACGGTGAAATGAACTCTCTCAATTACTTTTAATACATGTGTAAATCTTTTTCTTGGGGCCGGGCGTGGTGGCTTTTGCCTATAATCTCAGCACTTTGGGAGGCTGAGGTGGGCAGATCATTTGAGGTCAGGAGTTCAAGACCAGGCTGGCCAAAATGGTGAAAACTTGTCTCTACTAAAAATACAAAAATTTGTTGGATGTGGTGGCAGGCACCTGTAATCCCAGCTACCTGGGAGGCTGAGGCAGGAGAACAGAATCCCTTGAACCCAGGAGGTGGAAGTTGCAGTGAGCCAAGACTGCACCACTGCACTCCAGCCTGGGCAACAGAGTGAGATTTCATCTCAAAAAAAAAAAAAAAAGGAAAGAAAAGAAAAATTTCTTGATAATTTTTTAAAACTGCTAAGAATTGCCAGGCATAGTGGCTCATGCCTGTAATCCCAGAACTTTGGGAGGCAGAGGTGGGAAAATCACTTGAGCCCAGGAGTTTGAGACCAGCCTGAGCAACATAGTAAGACCTTTTCTTACCAAAAAAATTAAAAGTTAGCTGGGCATTGTGGCATGCCTGTGGTCCCAGCTACTTATCTGGGAGGCTGAGAGGATCCTTGAGCCTAGGAGGTCAAGTCTATATTGAGCCATGATCACACCACCGCACTTCAGCCTGGATGACAAAGCAAGACCCTATCTCAAAAAACCCACCACTAAAAATTTTCATACCCTTTGCTCTATTAATTCCTCTTTGGAGAATTTCTAAGTAAACAACCCCAAATGCAGTTTTTAAAAAAGCTTTGTTCACACAAATAATGGTGACTAAGCTCAACATAAGATTATTACTAATAGCAGATGCTTGGAAGCAACCTAAAAAGTTTAATGCTGCAGAAATGATGTAAATTCTTTTCTGCTCACATACCAGAAATTTTAATTACATGGAAAAATGCAGACTACAATGTGAAATGAAAAAGAAAGAATTCGAAATTACAGGTTAGGTGTGATCTCTTATCTAAATGATATACATGCAATCTTAAGACTGAAAGGAAATATACTAAAATATTGTTAGTGACTTATTGAATGGTAAAACTTCTCACCGTTATATTTGTGTTTTCTTCTTTACAGTGGTCTGCATTTTCCAGATGTTTGCATTAAGCATTTATTATCTTTTTATTAAGAAAAAATATATTTCCCATATATATTTCTTTTATTTAATTACAAAGGAGAAAGTGGAAGTGATCAATACATAGTTCATGGTGTTTAAAGATATTGAATTGTCTAGCTCAGTAATGTAAGCAAGCAGTCACTAAATCTCAGATTTTAAACCATTAGCTTCTCTAACAGTGTCATGTGAATTACACCGAGACCAAAAGTTATAATAACCATGTTAGTTGATTTGGCATTACTTAAAGTGTTGGGTTGGTATAAAAGTAATTGAGTTTTTTGCCATTACTTTATAGCAAATTATTCATAGTAGTAGTAACATCAATCAGAGTATCTCTTCTAATACTTATATTGCTTTCTATCTTTCTTTAGATGTCATTGACAACTGTAAGCTGGTTACAGATGAATGTAGAAAAAAGGTAAACACTAACAATAATCCATAATCACTCAGAGACTTCATTACCCTTTTGCCTGAGAATTTCTTCAGGTGCATTCACACAAATAAGAATGGATGTAAAGTGCTTACAGCTATACCTGGCACATAGTAAGCACCCAGTAAATAGTAGGTTTGCTGTATGAATTACACATTCAAAATGTATTTTAAAGATAAAAATTAATGGTAACTTTTAACAACAAAACTTAGATTTGAAACTCTTAAATGATTGCCAAAGGACTCTGGTGTTGTTATGTTAACCGGAGAATTAAAACAAAAGTATTTTGGTTTTCTGTAGGTTTTACTCCTTTAAGTTGATGAGGAAGTTGCTTCAGTATTTTGCTTGAGTACGTGTCTGTGTATACCTTAACAAAATGCAATCTGAAATGCAAATCAAATTTAATACCTTTATATGAAAACTAAAGTGTTTTTTGTACTGATCATTTTATTGTCAGTTGGTTTTTACTCACCTGAAAGTACTTTACAAAAGAAAGGTAGCTTTTTGCAGGTATATTTGATTACTTGTCAACTAAGATCAACAAATAGTTTTTCAATTGATGCAGTAGCTCAACTTATAGTTTGTGGAAAATACTTGTTTACATTGTTTTGATTTAAATAAAACCAAGCAGATTTCATGACTACTCTGTAATCTTCATGATTAAGTTATGCATTTCTTCCTAGTTATCGCAACTAAAGGAAAAATACTACGCTATTGAAGTTGATCCTGTTCTTACTGTAGAAGAGAAGTACCCTTATATGGTGGAATGGTAAGTGTATATTAGGCAGTAGGAGGACTTTTAAAAAATAATGAAACAACACTACAGTTACAACTGATGGCTTATTTTTTTACCTGTATTGTAAATAAACATTAATAAATTATGTAAGTTAGAGCATTGAATAACAAAATGAACTGTAATTATCTAATCTCTCTAACAGTTTAGGAATCTTTTTGGTTTGTTTAGTTAAGGTGAAGTCCAGTAGAAATAAAAGTTCTGCATTTAAGTCTCAAATTAAAAATAAGAATTTTTTTTAAGGTATATGGACAAGATGTGGCTTAATGTGTAAAGAAAAGGTATAAGGATTTAAACTGACTCTGAACTCAGAGCCAGCAGGTGATATGGTCACCCAAAAATTGACCTTTGCTTGCATTAATCAGAATGCAGTGTTCCAAGCAGACCACACTGAAAGCATTGTGTTGGGTTCTGGAAGAATGCTGTTAAGAGAAACCATGACAACAGTGACCAAAAAAAAGATCATGACAAACTTAAGGGAGTCAGAGGAGTCCACCAGAATGATTAGAGGAATTTGAGCCTTCCCACTTGAGGAACATTTCAAGAAATAGAAAATGCTTTGATGTGAGAAGCAACAACTTCTTTTAAAATCTTAGAAGACAAGGAATGATATGTCTTTATTGTCCTGTTACCTAACAGTATACATACTTCATCTGTATTTATGGTATTAAATGTTGCAAAGATATTAGACTTAACTCTACACACCTGTAGCAGCAGAACTGGAACTTAGACTTGGAAGATATAAGAAGACTGATTTCAGCATGAGAAAGAAAAGCCGGTCATTAGAGTTTTCTGGCAATGGAATATGCTTCCCTGGGAGAATGAGCTTACTGACATGATAGAAGCTGACCCAGGCAGAGAAGAGGGAGACTTAGGAATATTATAGGGGTATTTTTAGGTATCAGATGAAAAATTAAACTTTTTTTTTCCTTTTCTTTCTTTCTTTTTTAGTGGTTATTTGCATAATTGTAATGGGTGAGAGTTAGTCTAAAGGCCCTTTATGCTGAGATGCTATGGTTATAGGTGTTTTTTTACATAATTATAAAGCAGGCTAATCTATATGTAACACTTGCCATAACAAAGATTTTCTCTCTTGCTCACTAAATAGCATCTTCAGTATGTAGACATTTCATGAAAATTCAAAATACAAACAAATTTATAAAATGGGGTTGCTCTAATTCTTCTTATTGCAGTCAGAGAAAGGATTATGCCGCCACTGAATTTTTATCTGTAGAATTAGGAAAGGTTTATAGCTAGTTTCCTCTCATGACCTTACTAACATATTCAAGCTAAGTCTGGGTTTGGGAGGACTGGGAAACTCACTAAGAACATGCATATCACCTTTTGAGACATGAGGTATACATTCATTAATGATGCACTTAAATCTCTAAAATTTAAATCCAAATATGATGAACAGATTTTCTCACATGGAAGAATACTGTGTAATAAAGATACTCTTTTTTTCTTTGGTCATAAACTGCAGGTATACCAAATCACATGGTTTGCTTGTTGAACAAGCTCTACCAAAAGCTAAACTTAAAGAAATTGTGGCAGAATCTGACGTTATGCTCAAGTAAGTTTCTTGGGTGTTTTTGCTGTTATTGTTCACAGCCTTGAATTATTTTATATATATATATATATATATATATATATATATATATATAGTCAGTTGTACTTTTTAAAAATAAGATATTGAATATTCCATATATAAACATATCCAAAACATGCCACCTATCCCAAAATAGGTAGTGATTAGATAAGGAATTTAGAATGACATATTAGATCTTGGTGTAGGTAATAAGAGCCTTGTAAGATTTAAATTCTAATTTGTATTTTCTTTCTCCAGAATAAAAATGTCAAGACTTACAAATTTTTGAACCAAGACCATTTAAAAATTTTTTAGCAAAATACTTAAGAAAGACATATATATGAAACGAATGTATAAATCAAGTTGAAAGGGATTTAAGTATACAAGTATACTTTTTTTTTTTTTGAAGACAGGGTCTTGCTCTGTTGCCCAAGCTAGAGTGTAGTGACATAATCAGTCTTATCTCACTCCAGCCTCTGCCTCCTGGGCTAAAGCGATCCCCTTGCCTCAGCCTCTCAAGTAGCTGAGACTACAGGCATGCTCCACCATGTCTGGCTAATTTTTGTGTTTTTTTTTGTAAAGATGGGGATTTTACCATGTTTCCCAAGCTGGTCTCGAACTCCTGGGCTCAGGCAATCCCAAAGTGCTGGGATTACATGTGTGGGCCACCACACCTGCAGTATACTATGTCTAAATTTACATGAGTCTACTTTTTAATTCTATAACTTGTTTGAAAACTGTTTCTAGGAAAGATTAGTATGTTTTAGCATATAATTATATATGTATGCATGAGTTATAAGATACAAGAGGCTTTTCAGTACTTTTTATTACCTCCTAAAATTTTCATTAGGCAAATATGATGATGTTACCTTTTTTTTTTTTTGAGACAGAGTTTCACTCTTGTTACCCAGGCTGGAGTGCAATGGTGCAATCTCGGCTCACTGCAACCTCCGCCTTCTGGGTTCAAGCAATTCCCCTTCCTCAGCCTCCTGAGTAGCTGGGATTACAGGCACGTGCCACCATGCCCAGCTAATTTTTTTTGTATTTTTAGTAGAGACGGGGTTTCACCATGTTGACCAGGATGGTCTCGATCTCTCGACCTCGTGATCCACCCGCCTCGGCCTCCCAAAGTGCTGGGATTACAGGCTTGAGCCACCGCGCCCAGCCTTACTTTTTTATAATGATATTGTATTTTAAGGTGATTATCTCTAAAAAGGAAAGCAATAAATTGTCCAAAAGTGTGAGGACTGCTACTAAGTGTTTCATTCCTTAGTAGGCAACAACAGCTTTATTTAACCTATAGCCCAGGAAGGGTAAAAAAGGGAAGAGGGCTTAAGATCTTAGTAAAGAGACAAGCCACATGTCGAGAATACAGCTAAGTTCCTGCCACTCTGCTTTTCTGACAATGGCAGCAGTCAGCCTTCCACCCCAACCTAAGTGGGTTTTTCGAGGTATGGCTTAACTATTGTTTTCTTGTTTTAAATTTCATTTTAGAGACAGGGTATCACTGTGTTGCCAAGACTAGACTAGAACTCGTGGACTCAAGCATTCCCCTCCCAAGTAGCTGGGACTATAAGGCATGCACTGCTATGCCTGCCCATTTCTTTTTAAATGGTATAAATTGTGAACTGTAGGTTTATATTCATATTCAATGAAAGCTTAAAGACATCTAGTTTGCAGTATTAGAATTGATTAAAAGGAAGGTAAAGAGTTAACTGTTGTTTGAAAAACTTATAATATTGTTGATATCAATAACGGCCATCTTGGGCAGTATTTTGAAATGAGGATATAAATGAGCTATAGAATTACTAGGAATATATCATTTTTTTAGCTACTAAGTGAAAAAGAACTATCTATATCTTGCTCTTTAATAATCAGTTTGTTATCTCCATCTTGCAGGGAAGGATATGAGAATTTCTTTGATAAGCTCCAACAACATAGTATCCCCGTGTTCATATTTTCAGCTGGAATCGGTGATGTACTAGAAGAGGTTATCCGTCAAGCTGGTGTTTATCATCCAAATGTCAAAGTCGTCTCCAATTTTATGGATTTTGATGAAACTGTAAGAATATCAAATCATTCTTCATAATTTTAGAATCTGAAAATATTTTAATCATGTAAATTTATTTGTTTTTATTTAATATATATCCATTAAGTTAGGCCAAGTGGATAGGCCTACTATGGGACTCCATCCTTCTCAGTGTTAATATATCCATATTTTAAAAACGTTGGCCGGGAGCAGTGGCTCACGCCTGTAATCCCAGCACTTTGAGAGGCCAAAGTGGGTGGATCACCTGAGGTCAGGAGTTCAAGACCAGCCTGACCAACGTGGTGAAACCCCGTTTTCTTAAAAAAAAAAAAACAAAAAAAAACACAACAATGTGCCTTTCTTAAACTCTCATTCCGCAAGATATGGACTAATAATAAAGGTAGTAAAACTTGGCCAGGCACGGTGGCTCAAGCCTGTAATCCCAGCACTTTGGGAGGCCGAGGTGGGTAGATCACAAGGTCAAGAGATCAAGACCATCCTGGTCAACATGGTGAAACACCATCTCTACTAAAAATACAAAAAATTAGATGGGCATGGTGGCGCATGCCTGTAATCCCAGCTACTCAGGAGGTTGAGGCAGGAGAATTGCCTGAACCCAGGAGGTGGAGGTTGTGGTGAGCCGAGATCGTGCCATTGCACTCCAGCCTGGGTAACAAGAGCGAAACTCCATGTCAAAAAAAAAAAGTAGTAAAACTTTCTGTCTATTTGAGACGGAGTCTCACTCTGTCGCCAGGCTGGAGTGCAGTGGTACCTCAGCCTCCCAAGTAGCTGGGATTATAGGTGCATGTCACCATGCCCAGCTAATTTTTGTGTTTTTAGTAGAGACAGGGTTTTACCATGTTGGCCAGGATGGTCTCGATCTCTTGACTTCATGACCCACCCACCTTGGCCTCCCAAAATGCTGGGATTATAGGCATGAGCCACTGTACCCGGCCTTTTTTTTTTTTTTTTTTTTTTTTGAGACAGAGTCTCACTCTGTCACCCAGGCTGGAGTGCAGTGGCTCAATCTCGGCTTACTACGACTTCCACCTCCCAGGTTCAGGCAATTCTCCTGCCTCAGCCTCCCAAGTATCTGGGACTACACAGGCCTGTGTCACCACACCTGGCTAAGTTTTATATTTTAGTGAGATGGAGTTTCACCATATTGGCCGGTCTGGTCTCGAATTCCTGACCTCAAGACCTCAAGTGATCTGCCCTCCTTGGCCTCCCAAAGTGCTGGGGTTACAGGCATGAGCCACTGCACCAGGCTCTTGTTTTACCATTTAAAATGGTCTCTAAAAAAATAATTTACTTCTCCAAGCCCTTCTTAGCTATGATAAATGTGATGGACTTAAGTGCTTTGAGATCTCTAGTATTAAAGATAAATTTACAAATATACTGAAATAATAGTGACATCAATTAAGAGCTCCAAAATATGAAAATCCAACAAATAGGATTTTTAAAACCTAGTATTTGAAAAGACTTACATTTTTCATAGGGGGTGCTCAAAGGATTTAAAGGAGAACTAATTCATGTATTTAACAAGCATGATGGTGCCTTGAGGAATACAGAATATTTCAATCAACTAAAAGACAATAGTAACATAATTCTTCTGGGAGACTCTCAAGGAGACTTAAGAATGGCAGATGGAGTGGCCAATGTTGAGCACATTCTGAAAATTGGATATCTAAATGATAGAGTAAGTATATAAATCTGTAATTTAATTTTCTGCTAAGAAAAAATGAGGATGAAACATGATAGGCAATTGTTGCCATGGTCACCTGAGAAAGTAGTTATTTTAGAGACTTTTTTTTTTAAAGACAAGCCTCTGTTACCAAGGCTAGAGTATAGTAATGCAGTCACTTCTCACTGCAGCCTCCACCTTCCTGGCTCAAATAATCCTCCCACCTCAGCCCCTCAAGTAGCTGGAACTACTGGCACATACCATTTTACCTGGCTAATTTTTAAATTTTTGTAGAGATGAGGTCTTCCTGTATTGCCCAAGCTGTTCTCAAACTCCTGGGCTCAAGTGATCCTCTAGGTCTCTCAACATGCTGGGATAACAGGCGTGAGCTACTATGCCCAGCCAAAGCATAGTTTTGATCATGCATTTTGATTGTTCTTTACTCTCCTACACTGGTGGTGTTTAAAGGAGTTAATGCATGTTTAAAGGAGTTGATATGCATGCTATAGGTACTGGGAAAAGGGAGGATATGTATTCTATAGGAGGCCTCTGTGTCTTTTACCCACTAGATGCTGGATAGCAGTCCCCTGCCTGAGACTTAAAAAATGTCCCTTAGACATTGCCAAATGTTCTCTGGACAAAATCACCCCAGTTGAAAACCGCTGGACTGGAGAGAGAGTATTTTGGGGAGAAAAGCTACCATGTGGGAAAATGTCTGTCAGTGTGTCTTTAAGAGTTTGAAAATATTTCTTCATTTCAAAGATTTTTTGAAAGTGAATTTAATTTATTGCATCTTGACCAAGAGATCTGACAGTGAGATGCATTTTGAAATTATTTGCTTCTTCACCTAGCATGTTAATTTTCTTTTGTTCTCTTGATTAGGTGGATGAGCTTTTAGAAAAGTACATGGACTCTTACGATATTGTTTTAGTACAAGATGAATCATTGGAAGTAGCCAACTCTATTTTACAGAAGATTCTGTAAACAAGCATTCTCCAAGAAGACCTCTCTCCTGTGGGTGCAATTGAACTGCTCATCTGTTCATCTTGCTGAAAGACTTATTTATAATATATCCTTACTCTTGAAGTATTCCGTTTGTATAACTGAAGTATTTTCAGACATGGTGAATGCATCAACTGGAAGCTCTTTTTTCTCCACCTCTCTCAACACACTCCTTACCACATCTTTTAACACATTAAAAAAAAATCTGGCCAGGCACGGTGGCTCACACCTGTAATCCCAGCACTTTGGGAGGCCAGGGCGGGCAAATCACGAGGTCAAGAGATTGAGACCATCCTGGCCAACATGATGAAACCCCATCTCCACTAAAAATACAAAAATTAGCTGGGCGTGGTGGTGTGCGCCTGTAATCCCAGCTACTTGGGAGGCTTGAGGCAGGAGAATTGCTTGAACCTGGGAGGTGGAGGTTGCAGTGAGCCGAGATTGTACCACTGCACTCCAGCCTGGAGACAGTGCGAGACTCCGTCTCAAAAAAAAAAAAAAAAAAATCTTAAAGCCAAAATTAGAAAAATATCTCCCTACTTTTCCAAAGTGAATTTTGTAGTTTAATGTTATCATGCAGTTTTTGAGGAGTCTTTTAAACTGGGAAGGTTTGTAGAAATTTTAAAAGAAGTTTTATGAAATGGTGATATAATATGCATGATTTTACGTACTGCCATTTTTATAATTTGGGTTATTATGCTGATGGTATCACATCTCTTAAAATTGTGTTAGGTTTTGTTATTTTGTCTGGGGAAAATCAATATTTACCAGAAAAGACTGGCACTTACTGTTGGAAAAAAACTGGTGGTGTTTACAACATTGCTAATCATTACAAAACATTCTACACTGAAGCACTGATAATAAATAGGAAATGGAAAGTCTTTTTAATTCTGTGGTCAAAACTATATTGATTGACTCAACAAATATTTATTGTGCACCTACCATGATTTTTTTCTTCTTTCTGTCTGCCTGTCTTTTGTGATATATGAATCCTAAAGTCCTTGTCATAGTGGCTATTTAGATTTGAGTATTTTCAAAATTTTTATAAGTCTAAGGATAAGATATTTGCAGGGAAAATTTAAGCTGCCCTTCAGAAAATACTGAGACTTGTGAAAATTCTTTTCTCCCACTGAAAACATCAGTAAAGGTACAAATCTGCAAGTTTCAAAAAGAACCTCAGGCAGAAAGCAATCACCTCATGGTGACTGAAACTGAGCAGCATTGTGACATTAGGAGCCAGCATCTCTCTGTACAGTCCAACTACCCACTCCACATCTCTGCTGCTGCCTCATCATTGGTTTTCAGGCTTTAGACCTGCCATTGTGATGACTTTGACCCTGACTCTTACCCTTAACTCCGAATCCTGTGGACACCTAATTGGTTTGCTTTTAGGACCTGAGCTATGATACACACAAAGCATGATCTGATTGGCTCTGGCCATCCAGTGTGAGCAGCAGTCTCTAGTCCAGTCAGGTGTGGCAGAAGGTAAGGTTTTAGAAAATCTTTTTTTTTTTTTTTTTTTCCCTGGGAATGCCCATCCTTATCCTCCACCACCACTCTCCTTTCATCATCATAAACAATGAAGGAGGCCAGGTGTGGTGGCTCATGCCTATAATCTCAGCGCTTTGGGAGGTCAAGGTGGGTAGATCGCTTGAGCCTAGGAGTTTGAGACCAGCCTGGACAATATAGGGAGACCCCATATCTACAAAAAATTAGCCAGGTGTGGTGGTGCATGTCTGTAGTCCCAGCTACTCGAGAGGCTGAGGTGAGGTGGGAGGATCACCTGAGCCCAGGGAGGTTGAGTCTGCAGTGAGCTGTGATTGCATCACTGCACTCCAGGCTGGTCAACAAAGCAAGAACCTGTCACATACACAAACACACACACACACACACACACACCAGGCTGGTCAACAAAGCAAGAACCTGTCACACACACACACACACACACACACACACACACACACACACAGAGGCCAGGTGCAGTGGCTCACACCTGTAATCCCAGCATTTTGTGAGGCTGGGGTGGGCAGATTGCTTGAGCTCAGGAGTTTGAGACCAGCCTGGGCAACACGCAGGACTCCGTCTCTACTGAAAATACAAAAAAATAGCCAGGCATGGTGGTGTGCACCTGTGGTCCCAGCTACTGGAGAGGCTGAGGTAGAAGATTGCTTGAGCCCGGGGGGGCGAATGCTTGCAGTAAGCTGAGATCACACGTCCTGTACTCCAGCCTGGGTGACAGAGCAAGACCCTGTTTCAACAAATAAACGATGAAACAAAAACGCAATAGCAAAAGGCAGACTAGACCCTGCCTAAGTGTTTCTAAAATTAAACTGAAAATAACTTCTTGCATTAAAGCAGATAACATGGCATGGGAGCATCAGAATTACCTGGAAGACTTGCACATAGAAGAAAGAGTTGGGAATCCGATTTAATGATAGCTCTTTACCCCTGTGTTGGTATCAGCTTATATTGGCTATTTCCCAAAGGTGTTTATAATATACTTCCAGGAATAAGTATATTGCATGCTATAAATCTAAAGAACATTGAAGTCATCACCTACATTCTGGTCATGACTCAGCCCCTTACTAAGAGTACAGCTTCAGTCACCTCACTATAAAATGAATGCCTTAAGAACAAGGCCCCTTCTAGCCAAATTCATGATAAATTGAGTCTCATGCTTCTTCCATTTTATGTTTATTAACCTATTACATCTCACTGCTACTTGATGCTATTGAAATTTAAAATATTTTTAGTTGAGTTGAGTTTTCAGAACAGTTTAGTGTAGCCATTAAGAGTGTGACCATGACAAATTATTAAGCCTGTGTCCCAGTTTGCTCATTTATTAAGTGAAGATAGTGATATAGCTTCTAGATTAATGAGTAGATATGCTCTTTTATGTATACATTTAAAATTTATGCATTTAAAACAGCTTAGCACAAGTATTCAATATTGTTAGCTAGAATCTATCCACAAATAGATAAGCTGTTATATCCCCCAGTGAATCAATGAAATGGAATGATCTTTTGCAGCCCCAGTGAATGTTGGTACTTTATTGTAACCACCATTTTCTGCAAAGAGCCTAGCATTAACCAGTGGTTTTATTCCACTTTAAATTTTACTTTATGAAATAAAGCAATTTTGAGAACTAGAACTAACAATTTTGATGAAACGAAAAAATGAAAACAACCATCAGTAATACTAGCTCATTCCAGAGTTATTTCACAAGAAATCTACCTTCCATGGTCTATTTAATAGTCACCACAATTTTGGTAGATGACTGAAGGTCTGTTTAACTGGCCTTCAGGTTCCATTTTCTCTTCGATATACCCTATGGAGAACCAGCAAGGAAAAGATCAATGTAATCTTGAATGACTAATCCTGAAATTTCTCCAAGCTTATCCAGAGATTCAATAGTCATGCTGATCTTTGTACTTAGTCTGGTTTTCCAGTACCAGTTTAATAGATTTAAAAGTGCTCAAGGTGCAAGGGACACAGCTTTGAGATAGACCTGGATCTGAATCTGTGATTTAACTTTCATCTAGAATAAGTTTCTAACTTCTCTAAACCTTAGTTTTTTCATCTTTAAAGGTGAATATTAACTAGAGATGAGAAGTAAATGAAAAGTCACTTATGTAACAAGTCTCTATGTTGTGCTGAGTTCTAGAGAAACAGTAGTTAACAAATCAGGCATGCTTCTTGCCCTCATGTAGCTTGCATTCCTAGTGGGTCAAACAGGAGGAAAGAGTAGCCATTATGAATATGGTAAATGCTATGAAGAAAACACAAACGACAGACCCTATTTTAGATATGGTGGTTAGAGGAAGGTCTCAGGTGGTGTTTAATCCAAAGTCTGAAGGATAAGGAGCTAGCCATGTGAGGAGTTGAGGGAGAAGCATTCTCAGGAGAGGGAACAGGGTTTGCAAAAGTCCTAAGTGAGAAAGCTTTAGGGCATTGAAGAACTGAGAACTGATTTAACAGTATTATGAACAAAGGGAAGAACAGCATTAAGTGTTGAACGGGAACCAGGTGGATGCCAGATCATGCAGGGCTTTATAAATCATAAGAGCTTTGGTTTTGGCCGGGCGCGGTGGCTCACATCTGTAATCCCAACACTTTGGGAGGCTGAGGTGGGTGGATCACAAGGTCAGGAGATCCAGACCATCTTGGCCAGGTGAAACCCCATCTCTACTACAAATACAAAAATTACCCGGGCATGGTGGCGCATGCCTGTAATCACAGCTATTCAGGAGGCTGAGGCAGGAGAATTGTTTGAACGAGGGAGTCGGAGGTTGCAGTGAGCCGAGATTATGCACTCCAGCTGGGTGGCAGAGGGAGACTCCATCTCAAAAAAAAAAAAAAAAAGAAAAAACAACTGGTTTTTCTCTCCTTGCAAAGGAGAGGCAGGGTCACTGCCGCCATGTGGGAACAGGACTAGTGAGGGCAGATAAACCCAAGCATACCAGTTAGGGAGCTATTACAGCAGTTCCAGCTAGAAATAATGGTTGGTTTGTGGGGCTGGGGCTGTGGAACTGGAGACAAGTGGGTCATTTCCAGCAGTAGCTTAGAGACAGAACTGACAAAACTTGCTCTTGGCTTAAATATGTGAGATGAGAGAGTAGGGGCTCACTGATGTCAGCTTTGGACACGTGGACAGCAGGGAAGATGGAGAGGAATAGGCTTGGTGGTGTTGGGAAGGGAGTGGAAAAGATGTTGTTTTGGACATACAAAGTTTGAGGTGCCTGTGAGACATACGAGAAGATACCAAAAAGAGTAGAGCTCAAAGGAGAAATTTCAGCAGGAACTATAAATGTGAGTGTTGTCTGCATTTAAATGAGACTTTAAATATGGCCAGTGTAAGCTGGAAGAAACTGCCTGACCAATCAAAATTCTTTTTTTTTTTTTTTTTTTTTTGAGGTGGAGTCTTGGTCTGTTGCCCAGGCTGGAGTGCAGTGCCATGATCTCAGCTCACTGCAACCTCTGCTGTCTGGGTTCAAGCAATTCTCCTGCTTCAGCCTCCTGAGTAGCTGTGATTACAGGCACCTGCCACCCTGCTCTGCTAATTTTTGTATTTTTAGTAGAGATGGGGTTTCACCATCTTGGCCAGGCTGGTCTTGACCTCCTGACCTCGTGATCCACCTGCCCTGGCCTCCCAAAGTGCTAGGATTACAGGTGTGAGTCACCACACCTGGCCTCGA